TTTTATAAGCAAAATTTTCCATATAAGCTGGCAGTGTGCGACTTTCCTCTCTGATCTGCTTCATTTCACAGAATCCTTAGAACAGCTCCATGAGACAGGTACTCTGAATACTCCCACTTTACAGATGGGGAAGCTCAAATGCAGAGAGGTTGGGCAACACGCCCAAGGTCAATGAACGCAGAACTGCTGCAGTGGGAGCAGGGCTGGGTGACACCCACTAGGGAGGCACTTTCAAACTCCTACTGCTCCAAGGAGCAAGCTAGAAAATCCCATTTCTCAGGCCCCTTCCACTAGGACACACTATGAACTTAACACTACTAAGAACTCACTGAGAAATGGTGACATTTGGGGGTGGCTGCTTCAGTGCTTTGTTTGGCTTCTTTTAAAAATTATAAATGGCGGTTTGAAAGTTGTTGGAAGGGGGAAAATCAGATGAAGAATCAGGGATGTGGCTGAAGCAGTCAGTGTAGCAGAGAAGCAATGCAGCTGTCAGCAGCCTACCCAGGCCCCTAAATGGGCACAGCTCTGCATTTCTGGCCTGAGGCCTGCGGAGGTCTTAGGTGAACTTCAGCTCTTTCTACAGCACCCCAGTCTCAGCACTCTTTGGCGGATGTCCTGATTGGCTGGGAGATTGTTGCTTCCTGATACAGTAGTGATTACTTCTGAAAGATGGGGTAATACCAACAGCTATCATTTCTGACCATTTACTGTGCAGCATCACTGTGCAAAGTATTTTTATACATATCCTATTGAATCCTCTCAAAACTCCTGTGAGGCAAGCAGGCACCCCAGTGGCCTCATCCTAGTTCTGGCCCTGGTGACATTATGATTGCCTCCATCCTCCACTTGACAGGTATAGAAACTGAGGTTCAGGGAGGTGAAGTAAATTCCCCCAGATCACACAGCTAGCAAACAGCTGAGCTTCTACGCTCATCCTAAGACTCAGTTGAAATGGATTTTTTAAAAGATGTATTTTGGGCTCTTCACTATACAGAAAACCGAATTTGCCTATCACTAAGGTTACTAATAGGCCTAACATCTGTGAAAACTTATCTATCAGCTGGTCCTGAAATGTTCTGAAATGAGTCTGAGTGCAAGATGCCTGTGACAACTGAATAGTTTAAAAAATTCTCCATGGGAGCTGAACCCCTATTAAGACAGATCTTTATTTTTGTTCCTGAATGCCACATTTAGAAACAAAATGTCATATTTTAATATAGGAATGTCACAAGTGACAAAGCATATGTTGCAACTTGGCTTCTAATGGTTGTAAAAAAAAAAAAAAAAGAGAGAGGTAAATTATCATAATGTTGGGATCTTCTCAATTATATTTGCATTTTCATTTCTACCAGAAGTCCATTTTAGCAAAGGAACGTAACCTTAGTCACTTGAATCTGCTCTTCCCTAGAAAACAATTGTAAATGTAATAGGCAAAAAGAATAGAAAATGCCCACAGGGGAAAAGAAATGATCCATCTGGGGTCAAAGCCATGATGTAGATTGATTCATTCTTCTAGCATTCTTATTCAGGAAGGAAAACTTGAACGTTTTCTAGACTTTAGAATATTTAAGATTTGCAAGGAGTTGGGGGAAAGGGAAAAGGAATGAAATTTCAGTCCCACTGGCAGGGATCAAATAGAGATTTCCTCAACTTTTAAAGAACCGTTTTACATGTCCCAATCACCTCACAGTTCCTGAGTCTCTCTTCTGTATAAGGCATGTACTAGTTGTTATGGGAGGATACAATAAGGTCATGATTGCTTTAAAATTAGTCATAATAAAAACACATTTTGAGACTTGATTCTAACTGTTAAACTTAAATTTGAGCAATTTAATTGCTCGTTGAATAGGAATGAAATCCCACCGGCAGGCAGTTATTTCTTACAACCACTGTGTGTGAAATTGAAATCTTAAGATACCATTTCAAATATTCACCTTCTCTAAGGAAGTTCTCCCCAAAGAGTTGTGCAAGATAAGAAACTGACCCAAAGTCATATGCAGTAATCTCTTTTTCTTTACACTCTCAGGTCAAAGTAGAAGCATATTATTAAAAAGAAACTTTATGCCCTGAAGTTGGCTGTTCCGAGGTTACCTCTTGGAACCCAAGGATATATTTATTTTAACAACTGACTTGAGCCCCATGCAGAACTGTAACAAGGAAAGTAATAATTTATCAGATTAAATAAAAACAAACAGATGTGGCCAGGCGCGGTGGCTCACACCTGGAATCCCAGCACTTTGGGAGGCCGAGGCAGGTGGATCGCCTTAGGTCAGGAGTTTGAGACCAGCCTGGCCAACATGGCGGAAACCCATCTCCATTAAAAATACAAAAAGTTAGCTGGGCGTGGTGGTGGGCACCTGTAATCCCAGCTACTTGCGAGGCTGAGGCAGGGAGAATTGCTTGAACCCAGGAGGTGGAGGTTGCAGTGAGCTGAGATTGCACCACTGCACTCCAGCCTGGGCATCAGAGAGAGACTCCATCTCAAAAAACAAACAAACAAACAACACCCAAGCAGATGCAAACAGGTCATTTAGTCACCACTATAATGAACATGAAAATGGAAAACGCTTACATGTTTTATTTAGGAGAAGGGGGTGAGGTGAAGGGATCCTGTTTCCTGCTTTTACAACACAGGAAATAGTTTCCAAATTTGGGTGGGCCATTCTTATTTTAAACCCCCATTTCGCCTTTAAATTTAATGTCAAGCTCTTTTGAAATTATCTTCATGATGCCCTTTGCCATAACATAGCAGCTGCCATTTATGAGTGCTTACTATATACCAGTTGCTTTTCATGCAAGCAACCTCATATCTGTTATTACCCCCACGCCATTACAAATCTATGTGCCACCCTTTTATGCACTACTCATATAATCCCCGCAATAACTTAGGCAATAGGGTCTGTCATCTCCATTTTACAGATGAGGATACTGGGAGTTTATTTTATTTGTTTGTTTGTTTATCTGTTTATTTATTTTGAGACACAGTCTTGCTGTGTCACCCAGGCTGGAGTGCAGTGGCACAGTCTTGGCTCACTGCAACCTTCGCCTTCCGGGTTCAAGCAATTCTCCTGTCTCAGCCTCCCAAGTAGCTGGGGTTACAGGCATGTCCCACCACACCTGGCTAATTTTTGTATGTTTAGTAGAAATGGGGTTTCGCCATGTTGGGCAGGCCAGTCACGAACTCCTGACCTCCAGTGATCCGCTCGCCTTGGCCTCTCAAAGTGCTGGGATTCCAGGTGCAAGCCACTGAGCCTGGCCAAGATACTGGGAGTTTAAATTCCTGCTGTGAGCCCAGGTTCACACAGGTGGTCAAGGGTAGGCTAGAATCCAGGTAGCCTGACTCCAGAGCTACTACCGCATACTGCCTCCTCAGATTAAATAATTTTCCTAGGCCATGCTAGATGATAAGTTTTAAGAGTCTAAATCAAACCCAGGCAGTTGGGTTCCAAAATTCCAGCATTTAACCACCACATTGACTGGTTAAAGTAGGTAAACTGTTCATCACAACCTATATGTTTATTTTCATTTCTGTTAGAAATGAAAGTAGTGTGGTAGTGTGGTAGGTTACGTATTTATCACATAGTTTAGGCTTGCCTAAAATTCTAAGAATTTTCTTTTTTAGATTAAAAACAAGGGTCTATTGGAAAAAAAAAAAAAAACTTTTTGTTGTTTTTTTTTTTGAGACAGGGTCTCACTCTGTTCCCCAGACTGGAGGGCAGTGGTGCGATCATGGCTCACTGCAACCTCAACCTCCTGGGCTCAAGCAATCCTCCCACCTCCGCCTCCTGAGTAGCTAGGATTTCAGGGAAGCACCACCACACCCAGCTAATTATTTTTCTTTTTTCTTTTTTGTAGGAATGGGGTCTCACTGTGTTGCTCAGGCTAGCCTGGGCCTCCCAGAGTGCTGGGATTATAGGCATGAGCCACGGAGCACAGCCGAAAAAAAGTCTTTTTGTATACTGAAGGCTCCACTTGGACAAAAATTTGCTCTTAAGGCTTTCTTTGAGACACACACACACACACACACACACACACACACACACAGCTTTTGATTATACCCATGAGGGACCCAAGCCTTGGGACACAGGGACCAGAAAATGACAAAAGCATGCAGGCAGTAGTAAACTATGGTTATACTTGTAACAAGTCATGAAGCTTTGGCTCTGAACAGGGAAAATGAAGCACTCAGGGATTCACTTCTGACTTCAACTACTACCTTTCAGGGTGAGCTCATCCAGGCCCATGTGTCATCTTTAAAATGGGAACAAAAATGTATGCCTATGATCCAGACTGATCATATAAAACTATGGATCCTGAAAGTACGTTATCTTTTTGCAAGCCTTAGTGACTGGCATCACGCACAAATAGGCCTTTCAGTTTCTGAACGCAGATATTTTCAAGGAACTCTGAGGCCCAGGACAGCCAAACGTTTTCTCCATGGAAGGGCAGACTATTGGCTTCCCCCCTCTTACCCTCTGCGTTCCTACCTCTTTCTAGAAGGAGGCTGAGAGGGGGAAGCCTGAACCCCCAAATCAAGTCCGCCTTCTTTCTCTGTGCCTGACCCAGGGCAAAATAATCTCCCTAATACTGTTCTGGACCACTGGAAAAACAGCTTCTCTGGTCGGGGTACTACTGGCACTTTACATGGGGGGCAGTTTAACCGCAGGAGTCCGCCTTCTGAAAGGTGCTGAGGGAGGGGATTCCGACACCAGCCGACTGAGAGGAGCCCTGGTCCCACGAAGTCCCTCCCAGCCACCCTTCCTCTGGGATTAGCTGCCCTGGCTCTGCTCAGGCGTCCCTAGCCCGTGCAGTCCCAGCTCGCGCACCCCCATCGCCTCTGCAGAGCGCGGCCGCAGCCTGGAGCCCGCAGCCGGTAGCCCGCAGAGCCGCGCTGTCCGGGGCCCCCCGGTGCTCGGCGTCCGTGGACCTGGGATCTCGAACCTGGGACGGACTCAAAATCCACTTGGAACACTTGCATTTCTGTAGGTGCTTATTTCACATTCTTGTTTTTTCTTGCTTGCTCGAGCTGTTCGTGGGTTACTTTCTACCTTAGTTAAACCAAAAGGGAAAGGCTGAAGGGGGGAAGCCCTGAAGAATGATTTAGTGGCTGCCCAGCCTCCTCTCCAAGGAGAGGTGTTAGCTGAGCGGATCTCCCCGTCTCCGACACTGGCCCCTTTAAGAAGCCAAGTCAGTCCTGATGCTGCTGTTTGTATTGCTAATCCCCAGGAGCCCCGTTTAAAAAAAAAAAAAAGAAGAAGAAAAAAGGGGAGGTGGGGGAACCGGGCAGCTGTCTCTTTAAATGTGATTTCCTTCTATTGTATTTGAATCGTGATCAGGAAAAAGGAAATGAAACCAGAGACAGAGGGAAGCTGAGCGAAAATAGACCTTCCCGAGAGAGGAGGAAGCCCGGGGAGAGACGCACGGTCCCCTCCCCGCCCCCAGGCCGCCGCCCCCGTTCTGCCCTCGGCGGCGAGCAGCGCGCCGCGACCCGGGCCGAAGGTGCGAGGGGCTCTGGGCGGCCGGGCGGGCGCGCACCATCCCCGCGGGCGGCGCGGAGCCGGCGACAGCGCGCGAGAGGGACCGGGCGGCGGAGGCGGCGGGACCGGGATGGAAGGTTAAGTCCTGAGCAGCAGCAGCAGCTGCAGCCGCCCGGGGCCAGGCTGCGCGCCCCGGCCCCCGCCTCGGCCGCGGCGCGCCCGCAGCCCGGTGATTCGCTCTCTCTCTTTGGCATTTGAAGGGAGCGCGGTGACTGTCCTTGAGCGCGGAGGGGCGAGCTCGCCGCCGGAGCGCCGGAGCAAGCGGAGGCGCAGGAGCGGCGGCGGCGGCGCCCGAGCACCCGAGGGGGTCCGAGCCCCGGCAGCCGGCCAGCCCCGCGCCACAAAGGGAGCGCCCCTGCCGCCCGGCACGCCGCCTCCCTCCCCAATGTCCTCGGCCATCGAAAGGAAGAGCCTGGACCCTTCAGAGTAAGTGCGGCGCCCCTGCCCCTGCCACCCCCGGTGTCCACGGCCTCGCGTCCCGGAGCGGCTGGGGGACCCGGGCGGCCCTCCAGGAGACTCCAGGTGCGCGCCCGCGGCGTGCTCTTGGCCCCTTGTGCGGAGCGCTGGGCTCCCTCTTCCTCCCGGGTGACTTCGGGGGCGCTGGGAGAGGGACTGGGCGGTGGGCGGCAGGGAGAGGGGTCGGCCCGGCGCCTCTGCGGGCCACTCCAGGCTATCAGGACGCTGCCTAAAGCCACCGCGGGCCAGAAAGTTTGCACGGGAGCAGGCACAAGGGGAGCCTGGAGGCGCGCAGGTGCAGTCCGGAGAGCGTTCGGTGCTTGACGCGGCTCCCTTCTCACCTCTCCTTCTCGGCCCTTTCTCTTTGTCCATTTGGTCTTGGAAAGGGGAACATTCCAAGTGGAGGCCTCCGGGGTCCCCAGCGGCCGCCTTCCCGGTCCGCAGGTGGAGCCGCTGCCAGCCGCGCGGGTAACGGACGGGTGAGGGGTCCGATCGTCCACCTCGGAGCTGGCTCTGGGCCTCCGGGGATTTCTAGAGCAGCGAAATCCGGAGTAAATCTGAGTACGTGTAGCCCTCCTCGAGGTCCACCGATGGGGACCTGTGAACCTCGAAAGTTAATGCACCATTTTGTGTACAGGTGAATTCTCCTAGGGAGTAGAGTCTCGTAGTTTTTAGCATAGTCTCAAAAGGGTTTGGGGTCAGGGAACCAGAGCTCTAATGAGCATTGACCGCATCTGTTTTCTGAGCCTCGTACTGGTTTGGAATGTTTTTCTCTCTCTCACCAATTCTTTAGTGTTAACATGGGTAGCAAGGGGTGTTTAAGATATCATTTTCCTGTCAACGCAAATGCCCTTTTAAGAGTCATTAGCTGTCTGGTTTTGAGAATTTTTATTCCTTTGAAGTCCCCCTCTAATCCTTTGAAGGGATTTGTTACACAAGACCAAAGGAGCTGGTTAATGACTTGTCCATTTGTGCTTTTAAGAGACATTTGTTTTGTTTTTTCTTTTCCTGGTTTAAAAGAATTGTGCTTTCCTGCTTGAAATACCGCACACACACACATACACCCTTCAATTTCGGCTTTCTATGGTGTTTATTTACCTGGGTTTTACCCTCAGTTACCAGCATAAAAGCTCAGCATGTTCTCATAAAACACAGGAAGTACCACCATCCAATGAGAATATAAACATCACTATTCCGTCTTGAAGGTTAAGATACCAGTTCTGTAATGAGCTAGGTTTGTTGTAGCAAAAACCCCCACTTCCTTCAACAAATTCTCAGGAGAAAAATAACCTTTCTTTTTAAAAGTATGTTTATGTAAACAATGGGTTTAAAGGGTGGTTTGATCACGTTTTAAAAAATAAACTTAAAATTACAACTGAGCTTTGAGTTTCAGAGACTGGGCAAGATCATAGTAACACAGTAAGGGAGTGAATTGGATGAATTGGTGCCTCATACCTTTTTGATCAGCAGAATTTAGTCACTAATCCTTTCAATAGAAGGTAAATCTGAAGGTTTCATTTCCCTGAAGGAAGTTTGCGTCTTTCAAAGTTTGTGCTTTTTCACTAAGGTTAGAAAACTGAAACATCCTAACTTCCTAACACAGCAGGTATCTACTGCTGGAGGCTCACCAGCTCCTTCCTTCACTTCACTATTTGCCCAGCGAAGACAGTTTCTGATCAAAGAGGGATAAGCTAGTTGAGAAATTGCAGCAGCACATTCTCCACCCCCTTAGAAATTGTTATGATTATCCCAGAAATCCAGGCTGAAATGATACTCAGGTGTAATATTCAAGATAAGGGTCTGGGAGAATATAAAATATTAATTTGAGGGTGAATCAATCTCATTCATTGTCTTGGATTGCCCACTAAGTATAATGTGATATTATCAATTAATTATAGAAAGACAGAGCCAATATCTTACACTTTACTTCTCCATCTCATCTCAGGCCATCACCATAACTCTTTTCCTTTACGTTCCTCCTATTGTCCAGTATCCTATTAGGTGCTTCATTGTGTACTTCCTCAAAGCCGACTTGGGTCATTACAATCAGCATCTCCAAATTACAGATGGAGACTTGCCTAGCTATATGCAAATGAAACATTTGGACAGAAAGCCAGCCAGAATTCATGAACACAGAGATTCCCTTGCTATGCCACTGGTGGCCCTCACTGCCTCCCCTGTGAGTAACAAGAGCAGTTCATTTGAATTCCAGGCAGTTTTGCACCAGCTAAGGGCAAATTATCCTCTTTCACAGTCCTTTGGCAGCATCAGCATCGGGACGTCCAATGTCTGTCGAGGTCCCATGAGTGGTTTTGAAAGCCCAGAGTAAGACCATGGGCTGTGGAAAGAGAAGAGATGCAATTCCGAGTTGATACACATAAAAATGCTAGGGTATTAGTTATTAGAAGGGAAAATGGCAGTCCTTATATACAATCTGTAGAAACAAAGGAAAGAAAGCAAGCCTTCAGTGAATGAAACCCTGTCTCTACTAAAAATACAAAAAATTAGCTGGGCATGGTGGCGGGTGCCTGTAATCCCAGCTACTTGGGAGGCTGAGGCAGGAGAATGGTGTGAACCCAGGAGGCAGAGCTTGCAGTGAGCCGAGATCATGCCACTGCACTCCAGCCTGGGCTACAGAGCAAGACTCTGTCTCAAAAAAAAAAAAAAAAAAAAAAAAGAAAAGAAGCTATAGTTTTGATTTTTTTTGAGCTAGGGTCTCACTGTGTTGTCTAGGCTAGAGTGCAGTGCTCACTGCAGCCTCAACTTCCTGTACTCAGGTGATCCTTCCACCTCAGCCTCCTGGGTAGCTAGGACTACAGGCTCATGCCACCAAGCCTGGGCAATTTTTTTATATTTTTTGTAGAGACAGGATTTTGCCATGTTGCTCGGGCAGGCCTCAAACTCCTGGGCTCAAGTGATCCTCCTGCCTTGGCCTCCCAAAGTGCTGGGATTACAAACATGAGCCACTGTGCCTGGCCATTTTTTTTTTTCCCAGATAAACTAACTTGAGCTTCACATTTTCTTGTTCCAAAGATGATAATCTCATGAAGTGCTGTTACATTGTATCTAGAAAGTGTGGGCATGGCTTTGACACTGCTAAATATTCACAAGAAACGCTTCATACTTCACATGACAGAATCCTCTGAAGTTGTCAGAGTGTTATAGACATTGAGCCACCTAGCCTCCTGTCCCCAAGTATAATGACTGCTGGGCTTTGTGGGCTCAGACCAATTAGGACACAAGGTCACCTGGTAAGTTAGTACTAGTTAGAAATAGGAGACATGGATTTATACCTGCAGGGCACCCAGGAGGAAACTCCCTTTGGGAATTTTACAGTTGGAAGAAGGTCTGGGTTTTGAAACGTAATAGATTTTTAAGAAATAGATTTGTGTTTAAGGTTCCAGAGAACACTTGCTAATTATTACAAATCAACAAGTATTAAGTGTTTCCTGTGTCCCATTTGGGGGACACTAGAATAATTCCTTCCACTCGTTTATTTTCTTTTAGCAAAATTATTTATTTTTAAATGTTAAAAAAGTACTCAGATTCCAGTGAAGTAAAGTGAACAGGAGATACTATGCATGGCGCATTAATGAAAGAACGTGTGTTACAGCCTATTAACAATTGCTGGATTGAGATGTCAGTGACTGTTTAATTGCCTTCCACTCTCTTTGAAATAATCATTGCCCCCACTTCATTTTCTTCCTCAAATCAACTTTATCCGAATCAGCTTTACTGTTATAAAAATGTTCAGGTAAGGAAAGAAAGGCCTATTTGATGTTCTTCATAAGTGTAACAATGGCCTTACAATATGGGATTTTCCTCCAAAGTATTCCTTCAGTAGGAAGAATGGAAAATGGAATTTCTGTAAAAGAGTAAAACTAGGAGAATTCCTATTATATCCTGATGGAATTTTTATTTTGGAAAGAGAAAGCAGCCTAAAATAATGTTTGGTCTCATTCTTCTTTCTTCCTCACCTCTGCTTTTGTGCAGGTGGGAAGGGCTGGAGGGAGGATGGCACTTTATTCAACAGGGGAGTTGCAGATTCTTAGCTCTCTGGGTCGTCCGCTGCCCTGATGGTGAGCGACTCTTTTAGTCCAGGGTGCCTCCTCTGAGGTTAGGCAGTGCCCTTGGGTCCAGGGTATAGGAGGAGGAAAATGAGGGAAATCTGTGAAGATAGAGAGGGAGAGTCAGCGGGGGGAGAGGGAAAAAGCAGAAGGAGACCAGAGGTGCCCAGGTAGTGCTGGGCATGGGCAGGGGCACAGTGCCACCTGCAGTTGCCTTTGATGCCTCTTGGTGCCTTGTGTTTACTTCTTAGAGATCTAGGGAGTAAGGTCTGGCTCTCTCCCGTCTTAACCCAAGGTTGGTTGGGACTCTGCAATCTGGCCAAGGGATGTATTGTCCTGTCCCTTCTCCCTTAGGTCACCAAAAGGCAGTCAAGTGAGGTACCCTGTCTGGCCCAAAATGATCTTGGACCCCCGATGCTGGTCTCACCCTGGTGAGGCTGTCCCTGATGCTTGGCCTTCTCTCCAGGGAACCAGTGGATGAGGTGCTGCAGATCCCCCCGTCCCTGCTGACATGCGGCGGCTGCCAGCAGAATATCGGGGACCGCTACTTCCTGAAGGCCATCGACCAGTACTGGCACGAGGACTGCCTGAGCTGCGACCTCTGTGGCTGCCGGCTGGGCGAGGTGGGGCGGCGCCTCTACTACAAACTGGGCCGGAAGCTCTGCCGGAGAGACTATCTCAGGTACCCTCCCCGGCACTCCACTGGGGCCCTCGGAAGGGAGGCTGGGTGGTCCCTGGACATCTGCAGTCTGTGCATGTTGCCCCCGACCCTGTTCCAGGCTCAGACACCACCTATAGAGAGAGGTCAGGCCGCAGAAACTGAGTCTCAGCTCCCCTGCCGAGAAGCAGAGGGCATTTCTTCCTGTTTGAGAAGCATATTTTCAGGGTTACGTTCCTATGTGGTAAAGTACTAATATCTTTAAAGGCAAGAGAATTGTACCCCCAAAATTCAGAAAAGTTGTTCCCTTGGGGAGTGGGAGAAACCAGGGGTTGGGGCTGAGGAGGAGTACGCACAGAGGATCAGAGGAACTGGGGGGGTTTCTAACTTAGGAGGTGGGCTCTGAGGACCTCGTTTGAGTGCTTCAGAACATATATATATATGTGTTATAAATATTCTTTTGTATGACTCCAATATTATATGATGAGAAATTTAATAGAAAGCATGTGGAGCTCCAAGCATTGACTCATAGCAGGAAGGCAGTCTTTGAAGAACGGAAGGCAAAGGCCCTGCAGGCAGTTGGAGGTTCGAGTCCCAACACCGTTGCTTCCCAGCGGCCTTGGGAAAGTTACTTAACCTTCCTAAGACTCGATTTCCTCATCTGTAAAATGGGGATCATAATAGCACCTACCTCTAAGGATGTGGGGAGGATTTGATGGAATAATGCAGATAAACTACTTGACTCGGTATGGATCAAATAGATGTTAGCTGCTCTTATAACTTATCCTTATGACGTAATCATTATTTTCCAATCTAATGAGCAAAGGGATGGAAGAATGGAAGGGTAAAATAGGAAGTCGACCACGCCAAGTAAGACGGGAGCTGAGGACATCTCCCATGCTCTGGGCCATCCTGTTGGCCATCCGAATTTTCCAGCACTCTGTGAATGCCTTTGCCTAGAATGTACTAGCATTTCTAGTTTCCAAGGAGCTGCTGTGGAGGTAACTCTCTCTGTGCCCTCTGCTGTCAGATCTGCTCAGCTGTGTAGCTGTGAGGATTTCTCCGTCTTCCTGGAGCAGAGGGTCTGTGAGGCGTGCTTCCCTCATGCACCCGGACCATCCAACCCATGGAAGCTTGTTGAGACCTCAGCGCCCTTGGCTGCTGGGCCAGCTTTTCCCCTCAAACCTGCCCTCGGAGCATTTTACGTTACAGAAACAAAACCAAACCAAAAAACTGCAGGCAGTTTCACAGTGAAGGAGGCTTTACCTAAAGACTGATGGAAGAAGCCTTTTGTCCTTCTTGAATTCCCAGATAAAGTCCTTGCAGTCCTTGCAGATATGGTGGTTCCGAGAAAAAAAAGTAGGGTTTTGCAATGATCATGTTTATAATTTTGGTCAGTTTTCCTTTTTTTAAGTCCCAAAAAATAGAACTGGGATAAATACAGACCTGGTTTTGCTCACTCCCACTTTGCCAAGTCAGTGAGAAGGCAGACGGGTAAATGAATCCCATCGGACCCTTGACTCCATCCCTGTCAAATCATTTGAATCTTATTAAATGAAGTGCAGATTGAGTAAGGTCAGAAGAGCCCCAGCTTCTCCCTATCTCTACCGTTTTATATAACATTCAGGAATAAAACCATTGCTGCCTGGGCTTGTTAATCCTTTCCATTTTCAAAAAGGAGAGGAAGAAAAAAAAAAAAACCAGTCTGGGAGAACCCAATGTTAATTAACTTGTGTCTTGGTGACATGAAATAATTCTTCTCCCTGCCACATTCCTAGGCAACATGTTAATTAACTCTGCGTTAGTGCAGGCATTTCCAGCCATCCTTTAATATTTATATTATTGTTATTAAAATGGGCGGCAGAGAGCTTAAGATGGGACACCTCTTGACAGAGGAGAAAAATTGTCTTTTGCTTCAGGGATGGTCTTTTAGCCAAGATCTTGTTTACTTGCATTCTTGGTATATCTGACAGGATCTTTGAACAAGGCAAGTTGGAAGAGTGACTGAATGAGACCTGGAATGGGGTTGAATTCTTCTTCACCCCTAGGATAACTTGTCCCCATGAGGATTTCCAGTGGCTGAGTTGCCTGTTACAGTTCTTTTCCAACATTTCGCTTCAAATATTCATGAGACCCCCATGCAGAACCTCAACTCTGCTGTGTTGTTGGGAACCCGAGAGCAGCTGTTCATGTCTGTACCGAGCCAGATCTCCTTGGATCCCTTTTCACTAATTCTTGTGTGCTGGGAGTGGTGGGGTGGTGGTGATGGCAGTGGTTTTGCTTTTAACAGCCAGCACCTGAATCTGTTAGAGCCAGAAGTATGCCTGCCCCCGCTACACCCCCAACGGACCTTAACCAGTGACAGACATGGTGGGAGCACCAAGCCCTGCAGCCTTGCCTGAAGCCAGGCATAACTTATATTCCAGAGTCCCTCCCCTCTGAGGGACTTTGCCTGAGGTTACAACTTGGCTTGGGCTCCTCCCCTTCCCTCCAGCCTCCCCTGCTGCCTTCCAGGTTTTTCCTGAGAATGCATCATTCATAAATCACTGGCACATAAATCCTTGCCTCAGGGGCCACTTCTGGGATATCCAGCCTAAGATACCAATTCTTGGTGCCAGAGGTTAATGTTCAAGTTAGGTGTCAATTCCTGGCTTATTTTTTGCTAATATTAGAACTCAGAATCCCAGAGCTGGAAGGGGCTACAAGGGCCTTGTCTTTCAGTTCCCTTGCTTTACGGCTTAAGTCACGGAAGCCTGTGCAGGGGACTCCGTTTGCTCAGGTCACCTGGTAAGTTAGAGGTGATGCTGGGACCTGAACTTGTCTCTCACATATTCGTCCTTTGTCCTTCCCTTCATTAGCTGCCTGATGTGGATTGTAATTTACCCCCTGACTTCCCTTTAATAAGCTCCCTCCTTCCTTAAGGATCGCCCACCCCAGGCGGTTGGATTCATTCCATGCACACTGTTTTCTCAGTCGTTCATCCTTGCTCAGGCCCAAACTTAACTTACAGAACAGTCAGGAAACCAGAACTGTCTTTCCACTCCGTGACCTCCAATGTGGTGGTTACCTGCAGCTCCACCATCTGCTACGTTGGGATAAAATGTTCTCCCCCAGTAATGAGTTTGCTCCCAGGCAGTGCTTTGGAAACACTCGGAAATCTTCAAATGGAAAGCAGGATTCAGAGGAAAATTAGCTGGCCCTGGCCCAAACAATGAGCTCTCCACTCATGGACCACCTCTTCTCAATTCCATTAATTTTGCCCAAATATTGCAAAATGTGTCAACTGCCCTTACGTCTCCTACAACCTCTCAGAATGTACCAATTGATTCTCTGATATCCTGAAATCAATCAGAACTTCCAGTAAGAGCAAGCACTCACCTAAAACTGTCCTAAAGGTTTTATGTAGAAACCACCTGCTAACATGCTATGTTTTCAGCCACGAGTGAAAATTACTTCCTGCAGCAAGACTGGGGCAGCTGGGAATACACCCAAAATGTGTTAAAACATAAGCAGCGTTGGCTTAGCCCTTGACCGTGGGTGCCCTGACATGCTTCGTTTGGTTGTTCTAACAGCTGAGTGAGGTGGAGCCTATGATGGCTGCTGTTTCACTGAGAGGCTCAGAGAATCAGAGGTCTCTCCAGGGTCACTCAGGGCTGGACTGGGACATTGAAGCTGGGTCTACTCTGCTTCCGGTACTTGTGTTACTGCACTTTTGCTGTTGATTCTCAAATGTCAGCCTGCATCCAGTCCCCCGGAAGTGTTCGTTAACACAGACTACTGGGCCTTCTCCCCAGGGTGTTTCAGTTGGGTAGGGAGAGAAGAGGGCTGAGAATTTGTTGGTTTTTGTTTTTTTTTTTTTTTGAGTCAAGGTCTGGCTCTGTGACCCAGGCTGGAATGCAGTGGCGTGATCTCGGCTCACTGCAACCTCCACTTCCCGAGCTAAAGCCTCCTACCTCAGCCTCCCAAGTATTAATAGCTGAGACTAGAGGCATGCACCACCACACCCGGCTAATTTTTGTATTTTCTGTAGAGACAGAGTTTTACCATGTTGCCCAGGGCAGTCTCAAACTTGTGAGCTCAAGTGATCTGCCTGCCTCAGCCTCCCAAAGTGCTGGGATTACAGGTGTGAGTCACTGCGCCCAGCCTGAGAAATTGTATTTCTAATAGGTTCCCAGGCAGTGCTGATGCTGCTGGTCCCAGGACCAACACTTTGAGAACCACTGCACTGAGCCCTGCCATATTCTGTCTCCCACCTTGACACTGAATACTGCCTGAAATAAGTGACCGATCAACTGAGGCTTGGGAGAGTCTTGGTTTAAATGTCAGAAAAAAAGTTTCACTTTTGATTCATGACAATGGGGCAGCAAGGGCCATGAATTAAGATCTTCCATTCATGACGGAGAGATGCTGTTTGTCCTCTATATCTCAGAGGCGCGATTAGCTGTACTGCGTGTTTTCTGTGGAAGTCCCTGTCTCCCAGCAGCCGGGGCCGCAGCGAATAAGCAGGTGGAGATGTGCTTTGCAGCTTAGGGAGGTATTCAAGGTCAGCTCTCCCCATGGGTAGAATCAGTGGCTGTTGATATGATAGAGTTTGGGAGCCTCAGAAGAATGCCCATTTTATTGCATTCCTGGTCAGTACCCTCTCAAAGGGACCCTTAGGGTCTCCCTCCAGCTGCTCTTCTGAAATGAGGGTTCCCCTGGGAGGGGACAGGTAATACTTGCCTAACTCCTTATCATAGATCACATCAGCTGAGAGTCTCGCCCACAGAGGAGCAGCCAGGGGGCAGCCCAGGGGAATGGTGAGCAGTTGCTGCAGACACGGAGAGGGCTCAGAAAAGGGAGGAGTTATGCCAGATCCAAATGCCAGTTTCATCTGAGTTCCCTCTGCCTGCTCGGAAAGATTGCACTAGCCGGCCCTCCTTCTGGAGCTGTCCTTTCCTGGCTTCCTGACATCCTGAAAGTTCAGCCTCCTTTCTAGGGCTCATCCCTGAGCCCTGTCTTCCAGGATTGTCCCTTTCACTGTCTTCTTAGCTTTCTTTTCTTTTGCCCCAGGCTTTTTGGGCAAGACGGTCTCTGCGCATCCTGTGACAAACGGATTCGTGCCTATGAGATGACGATGCGGGTGAAAGACAAAGTGTATCACCTGGAATGTTTCAAATGTGCCGCCTGTCAGAAGCATTTCTGTGTAGGTGACAGATACCTCCTCATCAACTCCGACATAGTGTGCGAACAGGACATCTACGAGTGGACTAAGATCAATGGGATGATATAGGCCCGAGTCCCCGGGCATCTTTGGGGAGGTGTTCACTGAAGACACCGTCTCCATGGCATCTTCGTCTTCACTCTTAGGCACTTTGGGGGTTTGAGGGTGGGGTAAGGGTTTTCTTAGGGGATGGTAGACCTTTATTGGGTACCAAGGCGTAGCATCCAAGTGGCATAATTCAAGGGCTGGCACTTCAAGGTGACAGAGGACCAGCCCTTAAGGGAGAGCTTGCAGCCACAGCCATCCGTGGTAACTGACATGATTAGCAGAAGAAAGGAACATTTAGGGGCAAGCAGGCACTGTACGGTCATGATGGAATTTCATATCCACAGATAGGGAGTTGTTGTGTAAAGACTTGTTGTGACTTTGATGCTTGCAAACTAGAGATGTGCAATTGATTTCTTTTCTTCCTGGGTTTTGTAACACCCCTGTTTCAATGACTGTCCTCCACACAAGGGAAGGACAGAAAGGAGTGGCCATTCTTTTTTTCTTGGCCTCCTTCCCAGGGCCTTAAGCTTTGGACCCAAGGAAAACTGCATGGAGACACATTTCGGTTGAGAATGGAAACCACAACTTTTAACCAAACAATTATTTAAAGCAATGCTGATGAATCACTGTTTTTAGACACCTTCATTTCGAGGTGAGGAGCTCCACAGATTGTTTCTATACAAATATAAATCTTAAAAAAAAGTTGTTCAACTATTTTATTATCCTAGATTATATCAAAGTATTTGTCGTGTGTAGAAAAAAAAAAAACCAGCTCTGCAGGCTTAATAAAAATGACAGACTGAAATGCAGTGTTGTTTATTTGATTACGACTTATAATTTGGGATGGTGGGGAAATGCTCTGCTTTTTGTGTTGTAAAGGAGAAGTAAATAAGCAATTTACTCTTAGGTCAAATAAAAACTTCCATGGATTGCAAGGGTTTGTATGAGGCAGGCACATTTCTATATTACTGGCAATTATGTAACAGGTCATCATGTAGCTCAGAGGAATGTAGAATAATTAAATTGTTATTGTAAAATATGCATTTCACTTCAGCATTGTATGGAGTGAGTGGAAGGCAAGATTATTGCCTTTGGGAAACTTGTAACCTAGAAAGGACACAAATACATAAAGCAGATTCCCTTTGGGAGAGAAGGTAATTACCTAGTTTGAAATGTGGCAAAGATGCTGAGCTTGACACTTCGATTTTCCAAGACGGGTGTCTCAGGGTGTTTTATGACAAGTGGTTAAGAGGACCTTTACTTTGAGGATTTAAAGCAGGCACCTTGGTTTGTGTGTTTGCCTTCACCCGAGTCAGGCCGCCCCCATGAACTGATGCAGAGCGCCACCTGCTGGTCATCACCTCGAAGCGCGCTAGCCCAAGAGGGTCCCAATGAAGGACAAACCTAGATGAAGAAGCTTTTCAATGATTTCCTTAGAGTACTGGGAAATGCAAGAAGTCTAAATGCGTTTAGTTATTAAGACACAAGAAACATGCAGCTAAGGCTATAGTTAACTATAAGATTCCTTTAAAATCTTCTTAAGGTTTGTGATTTTTTTTTTTTTAATTTTTTTAAATCCCAGGACAGAGAGGCAAATGATTTTTTTTTCTTCTAGTAAGAAATAATGAAGTCATGGCTCTCTTGGTCTGTAAAATGCTAAAAGTGGTTGGGAAATCTGACTGCATAAGGTGGCCTATTTAAAACAAATCCAGTTACGTTGCATTCCAGCTCTCCTGGTGGAAAGGCGCTGTCAGCGACGGGATGTTTATTCTGAGTCAATAGTTCTCAGACTCTGGGGACCAGCAGAATCCACATGACCTGGGAACTTACTATAATAAAGAAACAGATTCATGGGCTCCACCCCAGACACCCTAAATCAGAAAATCTGGGGATGGGGTTCAGCAATTTGTGGGGTGTTTGTTTTGAGATAAGATCTCTCTCCTTCCCCCAGGCTAGAGTGCAGTGTCATGATCCTGGCTCGCTGTGGCCTTGACTTCTTGGGCTCAAGCAATCCTCCCACCTCAGCCTCTGTAGTAGCTGAGACTACAGGCCCACACCACCACGCCCCGCTAATTTTTGGATTTTTGGTAGAGATTGGGTTTCCCCATGTTGCTCAGGCTGGTCTTGAACTCCTGGACTCAAGTGATCTACCTGCCTTGGCCTCCCAAAGTGTTGGGTTACAGGCACGAGCCACCGTGCCCCACCTGTATTTTAATAAGCCTTAAGGATGATTCTGACGCAAGCTCAAGTTTGAGAATGGCTATTCTAAAACAGTTCCCAGTTAGGAAGATCAAGCATTCTAAGTTATTAATATTTGATGCAAAGGTTAATCTCTGAAACTCTTCCACATGTAGATACTGTCTACCCTTGGTCCCTAAACTGAAAACTTTCGCATACATTCGTCATTCATGTGTTCTGTACATCATCTTCAAAATCGATCACAATTTAATTCGCCATTTTAAACTATATTTACAGTAATAATAATGGTAATAGATTCTATCTGTGCAATTATCTTATAAGTAGCATTAAGTACAAATACAAATGATCATTGCGTTGGAAATGTAAACTTTATTCTTAATCCCCATTGTAGCACAACACACATTAAGATTCAGGAAATCAGCCAATATTTTTGTCATGCTCAACAAAGCAATAATTGACCTTTTCCATTTGTCAATGGCACCGTCTTGCAGAACTGTGGATGCACAGGCAGTCTTTGTAGCACATCACCTCAGGGGCCCAAATATCTAATCCACAACTGACTTGAGGGGAAAGACGTGTAAAGAGACTCAGAGGGACCAGCTCCCAAGGTCTACCCTGGTGGTCCTTGCATGAATGTGTTACCGTGTGTGCTCTAGACCCAGGGTCAGGAGAACTGACAATCTGCTCTCTTCCCTGGTCCATGCCTTCATGAAAGCAGTTGGCTGGAACATTTTGCTTCCTCTTGTCTCTTGAATGTCTTTTACAGCAAACCAGCTTCCATTTATTGCTGCTTCTAAGACAACTACTACTTTTCGGGAAAACTTGGAGTCCTACAAAGTTAAAATAGAACAAGCATCTAGGAGCTTTATCATCTGAAGAGTTGGATTTGAATTCCAGTGACATGACTTTAATTGCTTAATAACCATTTACACAGCACTTGCCATTTGCCAGGCCTTCTTCTAGTTTTACATATATTAACTCCTTGAGGCCACATAACCTGCCTCGGTGGCAGTTTCTACTGCTTATCACCTGCATTGTGCTGCCAAGGAAAATGAAGCACAGATGGTTAAGAAACTTCCTAAGGTCCTGCGGCTGAGAAGTGACAGAAGTCGCGTTAACCAAGGCGCTTCACCCTGCGCCCTGCTGCTCTCTCGAAGTCTCACCTCACTGAACAGCAGGTTTCCCATCTGCAAAAGAGGGAGAATGAACATCTTCCAGCCCAGATTATTTGGGGATATTTGAGTTTAGTCTAGGCAGAAATGTAAACAAAGCACAACGATACAGGATTAGCACCACAATAAAGCAATGTAAAAAGTGCTCTGGAAATGCAGATAAGGGAACAATTAAATTGGCCCAAGCGTGTCTGTCTGGAGTAAAGAGGAAGTGACATTTGAAATGGCCTTGGACTTGGAAGAGCAAAGACTTGGGGACCTTGACTTGCAGCATGAGTATTTCAGTGAGCCCAGTTTGTGTATAGGCGTTGGCTGGAGGCCAGTTGGTGAAGGGTTTAAATTTTGATGCTGTCACTTTCTGGTGGGGTGCCCTTAATTCCCAGTTTCTACAAGATCTGGGTCCTGTGGACATTGCTGACCTGTGACTTGACCTTGGACCCTCAGCTCAAGCCCCTCCTCTTCCAGGTAGCCCCCTCAATCTCCAATTTACAGCTACTCATCCAATCATTCTCAAACTTCAGTACTAGAAATCTTCTAATTAATAGGAGAAACTATGAAGATGCTGGCTTCTGGACCAAACTGCAAATTTGCAGAATCAGGATCTCTTGGATGGGACCCAGGAATCTACATAGTCATCAGGAAACTCCTCTTCCTTTGTTGCTGCTAAACCCTGAACCCTGAGTTCCACAAAATCAGGGACAGTCTCTGGTTTACCCTTTCCAGACTGTAGTACCTGCCTGGCACATAGTGCCCAAAATCCATCCTTCCTTCCTTCCTTCCTTCCTTCTTCCTTCCTTCCTTCCCTTCCCTTCCTTTCTTTTCCCTCCCTTCCTTCCTTTCTTCCTTCCTTCCTTCATTTCTTCCTTCCTTCCCTTCCTTTCTTTTCCCTCCCTTCCTTCCCTTCTTCCTTCTTTCCCTTTCTTTTCCCTTCCTTCCTTCCTTCCCTTCCTTTCTTTTCCTTTCCTTCCTTCCCTTCTCTTCTTTTCTTTCTCTTCCTTTCCCCCTTCCCTTGCCTCTCTCTCTTTCTCTCTTTCTTCCTCTTTTTTTATTTTTTTTTGAGACAGGGTCTTGCTATGTTGCCCAGGCTAGTTTCAAACTCCTGGGCTCAAGCGATCCTCCTGCCTAGCCTCCCAAAATGTTGGGATTACAGGTCTGAGCCACCATGCCTAGCCTGATTGTTATATTTTCTTTGTTTTACTTAAAACTTTGTTCTCTCTCTTTCTTTCTTTTCTTTTCTTTTCTTTTCTTTCTTATTATTTTGATGGAGTCTCACTCCATAGCCCAGCCTGGAGTGCAGTGGCATGATCTTGGCAACCTCCACCTCCTGGGTTCAAGAGATTCTCTGCCTCAGCCTCCCGACTAGCTGGGATAACAGGCATGCACCACCACACTTGGCTAATTTTTGTATTTTTTTGTAAAGATAGGATTTCACCAGGCTGGTCTCGAACTCCTGACCTCAGGTGATCTGCCCACCTCGGCCTCCCAAAGTGCTGTGATTATAGGCATAAGCCACCACTCCCCACCTAGTCTCTACTTTAAAACGTGATTTGAGAAGAAGGCCTTTTCTGAAACTAGCCTGTAAGTTCTTTATCATCGCCAACAGCATTTAGGCCAGTGTCACGCATGTGGAAAAGAAGGAACAAATATTTATGGCATGAGTAGCTAAGAGGGAGGGCCAGTAAGTAAATAAATAGGGGAGATGAGGTTTTCTATAATTTTAAGACTAAATGGTAAATCAAAATCAAAGTAGGGAGTAAAACCCAGGAATTTGCAGGGAAGGGGCAAGGAAGATAGAAGTTAAGCCTGCAGCATCTTGTTATGCCAGAAAGTAAGGAAATAGTAAAAACTAAATAAATAAATGAAATGAAAAAAATGATGTAAACATGTCATAAAGACAAAGGAGCCAGCTTAAAGAGGCTCTCAATAGCCAAATCTAAGACAATTTGATTATCAAAACAATTAAGGACAGTAATGAATTAAGAATAGTAATGAGTTTTAAGCATGGCAGGGGGCACAATTCATGAGTTTATACCAGTGATAAATAAATGAGGGAGAAGGAAGGACTCGTGTTTACAGCAGAATCTTGAATGCCAACTGGTAAATGGGAAGACAGCATGAGAGCTGGAAAAATCATTTTGCAGCTGTGACAGTTAAGATAGAATCAAGCAAGCATTATCAATAAGTGCTAAATTTCAACAGAGAAACAAACAGCAAGATATGGATATTTGGATGGTCTTGTTCAAGTACCTTCCCATATATTCCTCACTAGTTATAAGAAGGAAAAATGCTAATTACACAGTAGAGAAATTGAATAGCACCTTGACCAGGTGATCTACGTGGGGCAGATGAGCGTCCCAGGCCTCCAGATATGATATCCTGAAAAGGACACAGGATCACTCTTTTTAGTAGTTCTGCTGAGAATATATAACGTGTC